TATATTTTTTATGCTTTTCATGGGTTGAAAACAGAGTTGAATATTTCTCGATTAGAGTAGGATGAATATTATTTTTTAATGAAGGAAATAATACTGCATTTTGCAAATACACATCACAGTATCAACGCTACTATTTTGTTACGTTTTGTTCCAAAAATGTTGGATGTCTCTGGGGAGTTGCTTGTTATGTCTTATGGAGTTGTATGGTTTGATTGTGTTTCATTCTTAGTTTATTCTGAACTTGCCAAGATTAAGAAAAAGCAAAAAACATTGAGTGTTCTTAACAAGATTTCAGAACGTTGCAAAAGTTAGAAGAGCTTCACAATTCCATTGTGACAGCATCCCCTAATTCAGAACACGAACGACCATGACGATCCTTCGCGATGCAGTCAGTGGTCTTATGAAATAAGGAAACGTACTCGTGCTATAGGAACACACACGGATTTCGGACGAATAAATCTTCCTTGTATTTTGTAGATAACAATACTTTGTTTCATAATAAACAATTTGTCAAGTGTCATTTATTTACTGGTAACAGTGCATGTTTCAGTCGGGCAAATCTTGATTAATATTTGATACCCCGTTTTTTGCATATTTCTGACGCATCCAGAAATATGCTCCCGATTTTAAACATTAATATCTCCGCGAATTTTTAAGTGAAACACAAGTGTAATATATCAAATCTAAGTTAGGGCTTCCTCTATTTGATGCAAGTTATTTCTCTTTAAAAGCTTGACTTGTTTCGTTATTACGAATCAAACCGGAGTACTTTTTTTTGGGACACCCGGTATATTAGACTATGATCACTTATTCCAATATGTTTAACTCCTGATATGGAAAATTTACTTGGTTCATTTGTGAGGAGAAGTCAATTAGTGTGGACGACCTACTAGTGATACGAGTTGGTTCCTGGATAAGTTGACTATACTGGTACAATTCACATAAATCAAGTAAATGTTTTGTATTATTATCGACATTGTTGGCTGCAACATTGCAATTTAGGTCACCAACAATAGTCGATTCGATTTGCAATGACTCGATTTTTCCAAGAATTACATGAAATTTGTCAAAAAGTTCGACAGGTGAATTAGGTGGCCTATACCATGTTGATATAAGAAAAGGTTTAATTTTAGGTTTGGTTATTTCAATACACAGAAACTCAAGGCCATCATCTTTAAGATCGTCACGGATTTTATACTCAATTGTACTTCGAATATATATTGCAACATATATACAGTACAGTACAATCATCTTTAAGATCGTCACGGATTTTATACTCAATTGTACTTCGAATATATATTGCAACATATTTTACAGTACAGTACAGTACAGTACATTACAGTACAGTACAGTACAGTACAGTACAGTACAGTACAGTACAGTACAGTACAGTACAGTACATACAGTACAGTACAGTACAGTACAGTACAGTACAGTACAGTACAGTACAGTACAGTACAGTACAGTACAGTACAGTACAGTACAGTACAGTACAAGTACAGTACAACAAAGCGGAAATTTGACTAAATAACAAGATAACTGTAATGCATTGTAGTATACCAACCTAAAATACTGCGCTTGTTTTCACGTTGATGACACACGGAGATTTAACGCCATCCAACTTAGAAAGAAGAGTCTCGCTATTGGGAATGTAAAGACTGTAAACACAATTCCTTTACTCAGACGGATTATTTATAAACTAAGCTAAAATGACAGCACGTCCCATGCAATTTTAAAAAAGGTAAACTTGGTTAGTAAAACACAAGTCATAATGAGGTCGCAACAGTACAGCTATATGCTGTTTTCACAAAGTTTTGACATTCTTGTCGTTCGAAAGCTTCCATATTGTTTTAGTCAGAGAGATGTTCACTCCTCGACAGTCAACAGTCAATAAAGCCACACGTGAAATTAGGCGCTCAACACCCATGATGCTTTGCGGCCTGTTGTCCAACCTCCTCTGGTGTTTTATGTGGTCAATCCTTGCTGCTTCACATCCTGCCGCTCAGCATGTGGACAGACGATCCCATTATATGCAATTTGAAAATGAATTAGATTTCAGCGGTATTGAGTTTCCTGTTACATTTGATAAGATTGGCAAATTTGAACGTCAAAATGATATTTCAAATCTTTTTAGCACAAAAAAGATCACGGCTGACTGTGATTCTTTAAATATCTAGAAGTTGAACCATTTCTTTTGACGCAGTGTCCCTATTTAGACTATGTGCACATGGTAACGTTTCCAAGCGTTTTTTCCCCAATTTTGTCAGTTTGACGCTCAGTCTGACGGAAACGTTTTCAAGGCTTGCAAATGTTTGCCTGGACAAAAATCCCATCTCTCGCAGCTTCTTATCACCGTTTATTTCCCCCAGATGGAGTCATTACTTGTCAATGAGTTTCTTAAAATGTCATCTGCTCATTATAATAAAGTAAACAGTTTTCATATTTGTATGTTCAGCATCACCGATACGACGTCTGTCGCTTCTTCATGCAAAACACATTTTAAATCGTTCAAAAATTATTATATCACACTACACAATTTCCTGTTTAGCCTTTTGGTTCATTACAGTTAGCTAGTACTAGATAGCTTTCGTCTGCTGACAACAGGCTTGCGGGAACAGATCTGTCGCAAGCTGTTGACAACAGAGCCGTAGCGACTTGTTGAAACAACCCGCTACAAACCTGTTACTAACAAGAGATAACAGGTCTGATAGAACAACTTACAGCAAGTCTGTTGAAATCAACAGGTTTGGTACAACTTGTTCCAACAGACGTGTCGTGAGTTGTTTTTGTCAAGTCTGCAGCAGTGGCGGCGGAAAAGGGGGGGGGGGGGTCCCCGGAAGTAAGAGTATAAAGAATGCCAGAATGCGAGACCATTTATACAAACTACGAAGTCGATAAATTACTGCCCGCCGGCTAAAATGCAAAAGAAATATCCTAGTTTGTGATCAAGTGAATGTAAACTGATTTTCTTTCACCCTGAATATATATAGTTTATCTATACAGTAAATACTACAAACTTGGCCTTTGTGGTTATTTACGAGGTGAAGAAGTCTCAGACTTTCCTAATGGGTGATTCCAGCAGCCACAGACGAAATTTTGATCCGAGCAAGAAGAACGAAATCCAACACCGCAGCTAGAAAAAGCGTCTCAGAATAAGTAAAACTGCAAAGATTGGTTGCTAAATTTTGTAAAATGAAGAAAATATAGCCCTATGAATTTCGCAAATTTTGCATATACAGTACTTGTATTACGAGGTAAAATGGTTAACCACCTTCAGCTCAGAAATGGTTATTTTTCCCGCGCGTAATGCAAATACAGTATATTATACAAAATTTGCGAACATCACACAGCTATATTTTCCTCATTTTACAACAATTCGCAACCAAATTTTGCGTTTTTTCTCATTTTAAGATGCTCTTTCCAGCTATGGTAATGCATTTCGTTCTTCTTGTCTTGATCAAAGTATCGTCTATAGCTGGAATCATCCTTTGATTCTAACCCACGATTTCGAATTAAAAGAACATAGAATAAGAACTTCTGATGCAAGCATTGCATATATCTTGTGTTCGTGCTCTTTGTGTCAAAGCGAGTGTATAGACTATGGAACACAATCGTATTTCTAGTTTGGTGTTTTATGTCCAGTCACACAAAATTTAACACTGCTTATGTGCTGAATGCGCAGATCGTATAGTGATCTTTTCAAGCTTTTTGCGGCTTATAATTGGTCGTTAATTTGCTTTGATTGCTCATTCATTTATCAATGCATAATTGCATATCCGTATCTTTGTGGATTTTGAACAATTTTTCAAAGGTAGGAGAAATCACTACACGCTATCACAGAAAAGGAAGGTACAGCAGAAGCGTAACTCTAGTCGTATCCCTTACTGTTTTACATCCACGAAAATTTTAACTCGCTCACGCCAATCCACGTCATCCTGGCTAGTACAACCGGAAGTTTTTATCAG